GTGTGACATTATTTTCATAAATTTTGAAAACACAAACCAGGGCTAAATATTGGAATGGTTGCATAAATACATGGGTAAAAGTACAAAATGGATTGGAACAATACACACTAATTCATAGATGCTTCCGAAAGGAGACAACTAATTGTGGCACTTTATTTCTTTAAAGAAGACTTCAAGCAAATATTATCAAACAAAATGTGTCAATTCTGTGAGGTTGGAATTGATTTTATTCTTTGTTCTTCTCTGCATTGTTTAAAGGTCTGAATGTATAAATTACCTAGTGGAAAACAGCACATGGACTACGGAAACACAGAGAAGATGGAGCTAATCAAAGATAGGCCTGGAAAAGTAAGCATAGAGTATTGAAATAGCTCGTTTATTTAGCTGGTAAGCATAACTCCCAGTCAACCACAGTCTGTTGAGTTGATATTACAGGCAACCAGCAATTGCTGTATTGGCTCATGTTGGCGTAACCTGGCTGTAGAACAACCATCTGAGGTCCTATTGGCCTTCTTAATGGCTAATTCAAGTTATTTGACGGTTGATACCAGCAACATGACTGAAACAGAGGAACTGATTGCAACACAGATACTGAGTTACAACCAAAGCCCCGACAACTTTAAAACTCATCTAACACGCACCGTACAGGTCATAACGCATTGTCCAAGACCCTTTTGCCATGACAAAAAGAGGTTGACAATATAGGTCGCTTAGTATAATTCAAAGAGCTAGAGACTAAGCTAAAAAAGGAATCTTTCCAGTATCTAAGGACAGACAAATAATAAGCAAATGCTAACAAATGGAACAACTGGTCCCATGTGTTTTGTAATGTCAAACATGTTTACTATTTCTCACTGCACATTTCAGAAAGATTTTGTTTTTATAAATCTCCGGTTAGGGAGAGAGGGACTTTCTACACTAATGGGCATCATTTTAACTTTCTGGATTGCTTAAGGCATTATCCCAAGATAAGACTGTAGGTCCCCATAATAACAGTGCCATTTCTTGAGTGTCTGTTATAGGCTGAACACTTTAAATTAGTTCGTTTACACTCATTATTTTATTCCATTCTTACCCCAGTCCTGTGAGACATATACAATTACTATCTCCATGACTCCGATGTAGGAACTAAGGCTCAGGGATAAGAAATTTGGCCAAAGTCTAAGAGTTAAGTGCAAAGCTGGTGTGCCTGACTCCAAAGCGGCCTCGGAGTCCCTTACTGCACTGTCTTCAGGGAAGCCCTTTCCACATCAGTGATCTCAATAACAGATCCTGGAACTTTTGTCCTCAAAGACGAGTTAACTACCAACCCTTCATCCCCAGCCCCTCGCCATCCCGTATATGAATCCTTTGTGCTATATTCCTTCCTAGTGGTAAGAAGCTTCTGGAACCATCTCGGTTACCAGAATTAGCTTGTTATAATTTCAGGCAGCCATTCCTTTGATTAAAAAAAAAAATGTGTCTTCCTCTGATTCCCATCTGCTCACCCTCCTCAGTCACACAGAACAGATGACATTCCTCACGTGGTTGAAGAAAGTGAGCACATCCTTCCTACGACCTCCTCAAAGTACTGACCATCAGCCACTTGTAATATACGCTCTTTTGGGTCTCCTCACAATCCACTAGTCAGTTTTTCTCCAATCAGCATTTCCATTCTGGCAGTTCGCAAACCCTGGGGAATTGCAAAGTGTCTTCAGCTCTGTGTACTCAGTGCCCACAACAGTGCCTGGCACAGGGTAAATGACGTAAGTGTTCAGTAAATATTTACTGAATGAAGGAATGAGAAAATGAGTTTTGCAAATACTATGAACATTAAATAACACTTGTTTTCATCAGTCGTAATTAGGCTAAACTGTCAATGACCACCCCCACTCTCGTATACATTCCCTTTTCTCTCCTTTACAAAGGTGTCTGTTCTGCTCTTAGGATTGTTGGTTGTTTTATTTGCTTTGTTGCCCGTTTTCCCCTCCAGAATTCAAGATTTACAAATAGCTTTTTAACAGTCTTCAAAAGTGACAGCCTGGCTAGCATGAAAATTAACAAGATTTATTTCTTTATCTTAGAGTTGTGCTTGTTTGATTTTGTGACTCTTATTTAACACAAAATGGCTAAGCCTAACTTTTGCTTTTATTACTCATAAGAAGAAGAAAACCTTTTTTACATTTCTTTTGGCTACTTGCAGGCCATTTTCTGAGGATGGTCAATAACACGTATGCTAAGTGTGTATCTAAGAACAAATAAAGATGCATGCTTAAACTAACATTTGTTTAGCAAAGGTATTAGAGCTCGGGTCTAAGCTGTATTTTTTTTTTTTTTAGATTTGTATATTTCCAGGCATGTCTTATGAGCCAGCAGGATGGATCTGCCAAGGATATAACTTCACGAGGACCTAAAAGTCTTTATAAGTAGGACACGATGATGGCTGTTAGCCAACCCTAGGACCAAGACCTTTAAGCTTCCTAAGAAAAAGCCACCTATTAACAGCAAAAAATGTACACATTTTAAGGAAAAAAGATATCACCTCTTTTCTAATAATTATAACCTTTGAGAAGCAGCATGTACTACTTAAGATTAAAGACTCATAAGTTAAAGCACTTGAGTTCTAATTCAGCTCTACCACTTATTAGCTGTGTGACCTTGGCCAACCAACTTAGCTTCTCTGAGCCTCAGCTTCCTAATTGGTAAAATGAGAATGATAGTAGTTCATACCTCTTAGATTGTTGTGAAGATTAAATGAATTAATATTTATAAAGTATTTAGAACCAATTCTAGCATATATTATAAGAACTTTAAAAATGTTAGTCATTGTTTAAATTTATTGCATTGGCTAAAATTTATAGAACAATGCTAACTATAGGTGATGCAATTGGGCATGTAGCAAGTCTCTAACGTTTGTCTGTTTTCTTGAAATTGTTTTTTCACAATTTAATAACATCTCTCTATTCCTAAATTACTATGTTGTACTTATCTGTGTTTTCTTAAAAGAAATATAGCTGCATTTTATCAAATGTCATTTGGAATCTATTAGGAAGTAAAACAATAGGAGTTTTATTCTTTAGTTTATTCTTTAGACTATGAAATTATTTTAACAAATTTCCCAATATTGAGCCACTTGTACATTCCTAGAATAAACACCATTTGCTATTTTATTGTTTTGTTGATTTCTACAACGTTAGATTTCCCGTATCTAACATTGCAATGAATTTTTGTGATTTTTCTTTCTTGTGCTACTTTTACTAGGTTGTTTTTTGTTTTTTTAGTATTACACTTTTTACTAAATGAGTCAGAAAAATGCTTCATCTCTTTTGTAGAGTTCATAGAGCATGGGATAATGTGTTCCTTAAAAGTGTGTATTTTCAACCACTGATTATAAATACCTGATATAAACAAGATACTTTGCTCATCTAAACAGAGTATTTTAGTTCCTGCCAAATCTTTCTATCCAAGCTGGTCAAGGACATAGGCTTAAGTATCAGATAAAATTAGGCTCAGATCCTAACTTCACCACCCTCTAGTTAAATGTGTGCACTTGGCAAGGTGCGCTTTATCACAGGGAATAACCGTACCTTCCTTATCTTCCCCACACAGAGATACCGTGAGAATTACATCAGATTATGTTTATAAATCACTATACACTCCACCCACAATAAAGACTCCATCAATTATTTTATATGTTAGTTTTAATTTTCCTTAAAGAAAAAGTCAATGTTTATGATTTTACTTGCTATTTTTCCTTATTATGGAGATTTTAGTTGTTTATGTAGAAATATGAAGGCTTTTGATAAAATTTTTGGTGTGAAATTCCTTCAAAATAAATGGTAGATTCAATTAAGGTATATTACTCTCTGCTGACACAAGTTTAAAAGTTAAATTGAAGTAAAAATGTTCTGATAACACATGAAAATGAACCCATGGTAGGTTAAAAGGAAAGTTGTGCTGGTTTTGAGAAAACCAGGCAATGAGCCTAAACCAAATTTAATGTCTTCCACTCTTTCCTGTTCCCTTGGAGCTTTGTTCTCCTGGGAATCCGAGAGTGGGAGGAGGATGTTAGAGCCTTCGCAAGGGCTGCAGCTGACTCCATCCTCTCTGATCCACCGTCTCAACAGCAACAAGGGAGCCAGTCTCTCACTCCAGGAGGGAAAACACAGCACAACAGGATTGAAGTGGCCTCAAATACATACCCTACCATCATAACAGAAGTGTTGTGAAATATTAATAAGATTGCAACAGGAATGTAGCCTCATGTTTAAAGGACACGTAATTTGTGTAGGTGAATATGAGTATATAGAGATACATACAGTATGATAGTACATATACAGATGAGTATATACAGAGATCTATATATATTTATATTCACCTACACAAATAGATGTCTTTTATATATGTATATATCACTGTTATATATATGCATTTATACATATAAAACAAACGCTATCTATATGGATATATAGATATATATCACCAGCACAGAGAAACCTGTTTCTCAAAAAAGTATTTGAGATTTATGTCACCCAGTCAGCTTCATCAAGAAAATTTGCTTGTACGTACTGATTATAAATCTATTACTATGGTCTCTGAGAAGATTAGTATTAGAATAGTAGTAAGTTTATAAGACCTGATAGGTAACATTATGAGCTTCTCTTCTGTCTTAAAGGCTATAAATCTAAAACATTATTTTGGTGGACCAGCTGCGTCTGCTGAGAACAATTTAAATGAGCCCAGCAACAAATGTAAACATCAAACCAAGCTTGGTCGCTGTGCTGATCACTGGTCCCTGGCAGACACAGATGGAAATGTGTATCTCAAGTTCTCGACATGCATTATTTCCTTTTCATTTAACATTAATAATAGATTCTATGAAGCTCTGATTAAACTATATTGATTTGTTTTCTAAAATAAAGACCTCCCATGCTAGCTTTTCTTTGCTATCCTCTGGCTTTATAGCAACAAAGATATTTTCAGGAATAATAGCAGGATCAATGGATCAAATGTGTACCTACCTCTATGTCTTCTGCCCCGTGTGGCCTCAATAACTTGATGGTTTCCAGCTTCCCCCAGATTTCTCTTGATGGAGTGGCTTTTCAGTATCCCATGACCCCTGAAGGAAACAAAGGGGGAAAGAAGATTTATTAAGAGAAATATCTTTTGTTCCTTCTGTCTTTTGGAAAAAATAAATGATTCCTTGGACAATAACATCTAATTTAATGCCAAATACTACACAATTTTCCAACACTGTTCAATGTTATTTTTTCATTCCTCATCCTGATTTCTTTTTCTTTTATACTTCTCTGATTTATAGGAGGATGGAATCTCTTCTTTGAGTAAGCATCCCAATACTCCCTTATAAATGAGGAGTGTGTTTCTTTTTATTTTTTTGTTCACCATTCAAACCCATCAATTGTATTTTGAGCAATCTTTCCTGTGTTTTGCTATAAGACTGTGTAACATGAGCAGCTAGAGGCACTCCTACTAAATAGCAACATCAACGATATAGCAATATATATATTTTTCTTCAGTTTCTCAAATTTCTATTGAAAGTACGCTGAGTGACAGCCTTCCTCAAATGTATGATTTTAAAAGCAGTAAATCCCTGTAGCAGTTTGTCTTTGAATTCCGATACCGGGGAGCAAGGACACTGTTTCCCTCAATTATATGATATGGTGATTGCAATTCTGGAAGAGACAATGAACCCAGTAAAATCCAGCCCACATACAACGCTTCAGCATCAAGAGATAACTTGAAAATTTGCTATGAATAGGCATCCGACCCACTTGCATGGTTTTCCTGTTCATATCCTTTTAGGTATGTATATATCAAAAGCCCCCATTTTAAAACTAATAATACAAAAAACAACTTAGTTACCTTCATTTCCAAATATACTCTTGAAAGTGGTGGCTACAACTGAGCCATCCTTTCACTTGGGCAGTCTACACATTTGAGCAAACACATAGTAAACACTTAGTTGTCCTAGATGAGAAAGCCATGTTTCTTTCATATTATAGAGATCATCTGTTCCTTTTTCTGCAAAGTGTAGGGCCAGGAATGTCAAAATTCCTATGCTTGTATGAGCCGTCTAACTTTACTAGAATCATTCAGAGTGGGGGAAGAGTCCAGTGCTGTCTGCTGTTTTCTTCTCTCCTCTCTTTCTTCCTAATAAACCACCAAATTCTGTCTATTCTAGGCTCATAATGTTCCTCAGCTTACTGTTCCTTCCAGTTCATCCCCCTAGGCACCATCTAGCTCGAAGCTTCTTACTCATACCTTCCTCCATCTCATGAACTCTTACAGAGATGATGACATCTCTCACTAGTCCCTGGTTCGAGGCATGTTCCTTCCAATCCATGTTCCACAGACCATTCACATCGGAACAGTAACTGAATTTTTAATTTGTATAAAAGCTAAGAATTATATATGGCGGAAATATTTCACCACGATTCTCAAATAAAGTATCTTTTTCCCCACATGCCAACAACATTATGCTAGCCATATTTTAAGTTAATTTTCAAATAATTCCATTACTCTTCTCTTTTCCTTTCTTCTCACATTTCCTCATAGCTTACAAGTAATCCAGTAAAAGAAAGTCCTAAGGGCACTACAATATAGAGATGGAAGCACTGAACTTAGCCCCAGTTCCAGCTCACCCATCTATCAGCTGTTGACTCTGAGCACTCATCTCCTTTCTTATAGGTAAATGACAGAGCCTTTCTTATCACCTGGGGATGAAAATATTTATCTTGCTGATCTCTCCAGGTTGCTCTGGGAATCAAGGAAGATCACATACAATAAAATGCCAATTCTGCAGCATTGTTATTACCCTCCCTGAAGAACTACAAAAGTAAAAACTGTGCTTCTCGTGCTTAACACTAGATTCAGATTGGGATCCTGGAAAGGTAGCCGTGGTCACAGTCCTTTTGGGATTGCAATGTTGTAAAGAGTTTTGTTTTGACTTCCAAAGGGAAAAAAAATACCAAAGGAATCATACGCTAATATATTTGAATTTCCAAGACATGCTGAATCTAAAAGGGAAAGAAAAGGCAAAGGAGCTCAAAACAGTGACAAATCTTAATTGGCTCAAACTGCTGTTTGACTAAAATAACCCAACTGTCATCTGTGGCACAAATGTTAATACCATCTCCTTGAAACCCAGCTAAGGACTCCAGATATTCCTGGACACTTTCTAATGGGAAATATATGCCTATTCTCCATCATTGTGTTGTAGGTTTTTAATTGAAGAATGTGGAACATATATAACAGGAAGAGTTTGTTTTGCTTCTAAAAAGGAAATGAAAAATATCAACCCAATATCATTTCACATACAAGCAGCAGTGTGGCCTCAGTTCAAGGAAGTTTTACTTTGAGACTAAGAAAACCAGGGGGATATATTTGAACTCATGTATCTAAACAAACCATGAAACTGTAGAAATTAAGTATAGAACGAGAAGAGCAGAGTGGTAGGAATAAAGACCACAGCTATATTTTCTTAAAATTTGGTGAGATGAATGTTAATTAGAGTTCACAAAGTTTAAATTTTCCTGTGAAGAAAAACAACACTCAATGAAGTATAATTTTTTTCTTTGAAAATTATTGTCCCATATTAAGAAGGATCTATAATTTTGTTCATTCATTCATTCATTCACTCAGATATTCAAAAACCAATTCTTCCTGAGTTCCTCCTGTGCGTGGCTGGTTTGGCCCCCCTGGCCACAAGAGGCTGGCAATGAATGCCCAAAGAATTGCATGAACAGGCCACATAAAAAACATCCTGCTTCTTCCATCTAGAATGCGCATCACCCTTCACTCTCAGGAGCAGGCCCTAGACCATCTTTAAAGGCCCAACTCAAACGCTGCTTCATTTGTAAAGCTCTTTGGAACTGCACCAGTTGGGTATTAATCATAATCCCTGCCCCTGGATCCCTTTGTTCATAACTCTCTGATGCACTTATCACCGTCTGCTTGCATTACAGCTGTGTGTGTGTATCAGTCTTCTCCAGCAGGCTGTGAACGTCTTGAATGGCCATGTTTTATTCATCCATCTACAGGACTTAGTGAGATATGCTGTTGGTACTCAATTAGTGATTAGTGAATGGAAAATTCATGCATCTGTACTTGCATGAGCAAAAGATATATCATAGCTTTAAAATGAAGCATTGCAAATGTTTTACGCTCACCCTTACTCCATGCACACCTAAAAAGATGAATTTATAACTTTGTGAAAATACGGAAAACTTGTGTATTCATTTATAAAAGTGTTCACCACAAAATCAGCATCATTCTATTCAAATTCTTTTATTTACTTATTCTTAGGTTTCCCTCTAACTGACACTTAGCCTATTCTCTTCTATTTTTTCCTACTATATATGCCTGATTTCTACAACTGTTGTAGTTTTTAAACTAACCTACTAACTAGATCTTTGGCAATTGCAACATTTTCAAGAGCTTTAATGGTTATTGTATGTGCATAAAATTGCAAATAACCTGTTTGTCAATTCATTAATTCAGCAAATATTATTGTCTACAATGTGGTAGATACCATGGAGGAAACACAGACCCTATTTCAGGGGACAAAGGGGTAAAGCTAGAGTAGTTGGTAATAAATATACACAGATAAACAAAATCAAAACTGTATCTAAGTGTCACATTTCTAACTTATCTGAAATTATTAATTAAAAAAATCTTTTGATTGAAACATCAATAGCTGAAGAATGAATTAAGAGGAACTGAAGAAAATAACTAAGAATTAGAGATATATTCGTGTTTCAGATTCAGCTAATAAAAGCAGTTAAACATCCAGTCTAATCATCTTCTTAGTTGCAAGTCAATACCATCAACATTTGAAATAGCCAAGTACAATCAGGTTTTCTAATCAAAAATGTACTGACTGCATTGTACAACTGCTTTTACACAGCAATTTGGCAAAGTTGACCAAGAGTCTTAAAAATGTTGATAAACTTTGACCCCATAATGCCACTGTGAGACTCCCCTGACCCTTCAGCTCCCAGGATAAACTCTCTTTTTACTTTGTCGTTGGCGCTGCTGCCAGGAGGAAGAGGAGATAAAGGGATTTGAACAGTTAGTAACATCTGCTCTACATCACAAACCTTGCATTTTACACTTTGCATTTTCCTCCATTTAATCATCACAATTAATCTACCACATAGTGGACTTGATTCAAAGCTCAGAGATGGTGAGATACCTCCCTAAGGTCACATAGCTAATAAGTCACAAAGACAGGAATCAAGATCAGCTCTGTCTGACTCTAAAGTCTGTGATAGATCCACTATGCGCCATAATGACTCACAAGATTCTTGAACTATTGACCTAGATTTTATATATAACTTTTCCTCTATACAACTTTTTTCTTATGACTAAACAGAAGTTCCTTGATGCTTATTATTTTGGTTCTTATCTCAAAGCTCTAAGAAAATGAATTTTTTTTGAGAACTGACTCAAAAACAATTTACTTATTCACTTCCTCTAATTATTCTTTTAACCATTTCCCCTTCCTTCACATCTCATACACCAAAGAAAATATACTTCACATCTCACACTGAAGAGAAACGACTTCAGTGCTAAATGCCTGCAGAATTTACCTTTCACATTCATAGAATTTGGATGGATGTAAAGAAGCTTGCTTAAAAAGGCTTCCTGCTGTAGACTATAGGCCCAAAGAATAAAATAAGAAACTAAAATAATAAATAAATAAATAAATAAATAAAAATAAATAAATGAATAAATAAAATAAATAAAATAAGAAAACAAATGATTGCATAGTTTTCACTCTCTTGCATTCTCATTATATTGTTTTAAGGTAAAAACAAGCTTGTTGTGAATACCAACTGGGTTCTCTTCATGAAATAACGTGGTACTTTCTGGGACCAGCCCGGTGGCACAGCTGTTAAGTGCGCACATTCTGCTTCAGCGGTCCAGGATTCGCTGGTTCGGATCCTGGGTGCGGACATGGCACCGCTTGACATGCCATGCTGTGGTAGGCGTCCCACATATAAAGTAAAGGAAGATGGGAACGGATGTTAGCTCAGGGCCAGTCTTCCTCAGCAAAAAGAGGAGGATTGGCAGCAGATGTTAGTTCAGGGCTAATCT